TTCTTATTTTAAATCTAAATTGTCTTGTTCCATTGGCGAAATGTCTCTTTTATCTCCTCAATCAAATAACCAATGCACTTATTTTAAGAAAAAAATGACTTATCAGATTTGGATTTTTTCCAGTGTGCCTTCCTTCTAGAGCAACAGCAGCTCTTCCATAAACACCACAAGTCAATATATCATCAGCTTTAATCATTCACAAACAACATTTAAGGCTTCTTCAGGCATGATCATATCAATAAATCTATCAGTGTTAGGTGCTTCTGGCTGCAGCTTTTGTCCCATACAGTTCTTAAAATGTCAGCGTGTAACAGATGGGCTCAATAAGGCTGGCCAAGCCATTGATTTGACCTTGATACAGACAGCTGAAGTGAACTGAAGGAAAAATTGGACCGACAAATAAACCTATACTCTGCAGTAACTTTAACTCCTTCTTAATGATCTTGTTCTTTCTGATTGCTTTTTTTTGTCTTTATACTCAGCTTAAGGGCAGTATTAGATTTAGTAAATAAAGTTAATAAGAAACCAGCTGTGAATGCACAGACTAGTGTAGACCTTCTTCCTTGGCAGCCAGGCTTCCTCTGTAGCGCCTCAGTCAGTCCCACGATTCTTAGCCTTCAGTTCGTCTTCCTGACAGCGGGAGAAGCGTGACTCTGTCGATTTGCCGGGAGACAGAGGGAGGGCACATTGCCACAGACATTAACAAGCGTCTTCACCTTTTAACAAGCACGGCCCCGTTTAGCTGAAACGCTCCCCAGGGCTATTAGATATTTTCCGATGAATTATATATCAGAGGGTGAAGATGAAAGCACTTAGTGTGAGCCAAGAACATAGCTAGAGGGACAACAAGGGAAGCAGAGTTTTAAGCCTGGTTAGGCTGTTTGTTTTCTGATCGTTTGGGGAAAATGGGAGATCTCCACTCAGAGGCTACAGTACAACTGCAATCAGGAGGAACATTAGGATCTGAATTAAATGGGAGGTTCGGTTGTTCTGGGGTTGAAATTATAAGAATTAATTTAGGAAGTTATTACGCATCCATCAAAATGATGACATTTTTAACCAACAGATTAGATTATCAGAGTAATGTTCAAATATGGTTTGATTCAAACAGCATTGCCTACTTTGTTTAATGTTTACCACCTACATTTTTCTAAACTGAAGAAATTGGGTATGTCCACCTTAACTATTCTCATTTAAAAGGTGCTTTGGTAAGCAGCGAACTTTAAAGGTGGTGGCTACAAGTTCAACTCCTCCCTGCCAGCAAGTGGCGCACTTGCCCGCAGTCCTTCCGAGTGTCTGCCAGCTGGTTGCCAAGTCCGCTAAGGTTTAACTTACCTGTAGGTGAGAAAAATGCCAACCTATGTGGGCCTTCTGGGTACCATTGCTTTTTTTGTCAGTATCAAAGGGTCGACAGATGTTAACACTCATTTTCTTTCTTTTTTTTTTCACTTAGAAAAAAAAACTATATTCAACCTAACACTGATCTCTATTTATTCACTGGATTGCTGATTGGCCGTTGGTAGTTCACAGTGCTGTGAAGTCACCAGCTGCCATATTGGTACTCCCTAGTTAGACCGGTCAGAAAGTAAACGTAAAAATACGTGCGCCACAGCATGATTTTGTCATTTTCAGGGGGGCTTTTAAGACTTTTTAAATAAAGATAAAATCATCACTTTGACACACACTTGCTTTTTCATAGCATCAGTAGATTGCTGTCATTTAAGGTAAAAAAAAATAAAAAATAGGCAGATCACATTGCATATTCAGTATGAAGTCAATGAAGTATATAAATCATGTAATATAACATATTATACAAATCCATCACAACAGAATGAGTGTGTTTATACTATAGTCAGATATTAGCAATATTACACATACTGATGATCTGATCCTATATTTGATGTCTAATGTTATGCCAGAAGTGCTAAACAAATGATGTACATGCAATACACATGTATTTATTATATTGTTATGGTTATTACATTAAATTACATTTCATTAAAGGCATTTTGATGACGCCACTGCATGAAAATGGAGAGTACCAAGATAGTGACAGGTGACTTCAGTAGTTTTGGTCTATCAGCAATCCAGTGAATAAATAGAGATCAGTGATACTTCATTTTATGAAAAAGTTACAGTTATGCAATAAGCTCATATTTTTGTAATTTCTTTTTTTGTATTCATGGCTGCAGTGAGGTTTAATCAAAGTAATCAAACAAGATAGGAGAAGTGATGGAAGAGGAAGGGCATGCAACAAAGGTCATCAGGTGATGAATGTGATTCTGTGTTCATGTTGTATGTCTGCTTGCTTCTGTGTCCTTGAATCCTAGTCGTTCTGAAGGCCTGGTTCTGCTGGACGTTTTGTCCTGTTACAAGGAAGCTTTTCCTCTCCACTGTCACTGCATGCATGATCTGGTTGAATTGTCTGTATAAAGGATCTTGAGATGACATGTGTTGTGAACTGCCTCTATATAAATAAATTATACTGAACTGAATCAAACTTGGGAGGCCCAAAAGTCTGTACGCCTGAGTGCGCTCACTGCAGTGAGCACTATACCATGGTTTGCCCAAAGCTAAATGTAACATGAATTACTATGAAAACCAAGGGAGAAATTATGAACTATCATAAGACACGTTGTTGAGAAAGTATTTGTGTTTAGATCAGAGAGTTCCAGTTTGAGCTAAATAACAGTGAGAGCTAAAATCAAACTCTACAGTAAACCTGAGGCATGAATTCTCTTGTGATGTGCTAATATGAAAATATAATTAGTAAAACTTGCAAATTGTTAAAAGACTTGAGACAGAGGTTTTAACTTGGTGTCTTCCCTCAATTAAGTTAACAGCAGCTCTAATACTAATGTCCAATTTGCTACCAAGTTGAAGAATCTTTGCAGATGGTGACATATCTGAAATTTGGTAATCAGAGAAAAAGATTAGGTACCTCCTTATTGATTTTTTCATGTGGGTTTTTCTGTATCATATATCTAATTTGGACCTTTGATTAATATATATTTAATCATTAAACCTCATTTTCTTTCTTGTCTAAAAGGCTATCAGCCTCCCAATCTGTTCATCTGGCATATAGCCTCCTAATTAATTCCCTAACCTGCTGCTTGCTGGAGAGCATCAGTTAAAACCACTACTGAGGTTAAAACTGTATCTGAGTGGAATAAAACAGAAGAAAGAGAACACACTGAACAATCATTAAACTAGAGCTGTGAAGATCTGTGAAAACAGAAGAGTGGGAAAAAAGTTCTGATAATCCAGAGCATGCACAAATGTTATATAATTTTTAACTTATCAGTTTTAAAAACTGAATTAGGTATTTCTAATTAAAATCTAAATTAACTAACCTCCCCCTTTTTTAACACTTAAAGTTTAGGCAGACTTCCTTTTACTTTTATGAAATTATTCATATATTTCAGTAGAAATAAAACATGTTTTATACATTCTATCGGTTGCAGCCTATCCTATTTTCAGAGATCTTTTATAAACAAACTCTGTTGATAAAGCCTGCAAGTTTGTCATCACTCCCCTGGAAAGTTAACCATCTCTGTTTAAATTGTGTTTGCTCAGGTTGAACGAACTTAAGTGAATCATAGCAAGCAAAGGGTCTATAGTGCTTTTAGAATTTGGTGTGAACTTGCATTTGTAAGATTAATTCCAGGGTAAAAGAGGGGGAGGTTTTCTCTGTTTTTACTGATAAATTTGAGGTTAACAAGAAATTGGACAGACTGTCTACAGTCATGATTAAAGACTGCTAATACAGCATCTAACTCATAATACTTTGTCATGTAATATTCAACTAGAAAATGTTTTGTTCTTTAATAGCCCAGATGAAAGACACAAACGTAGGACTTTAAGTGTGAGGATGAGCGATGGGAGTTTAGCGGAGGATGTGGTCAGGAGAGAAAGTAGCGGTTAGTTCAGCCTTATTAAAGCATGGAGCGAGAGTAAAGGGATGCTGGTAGTCACTCCCCAACAATATTTTGCAATGGAGGATTTTGAGAGAGCAGCAGGGCGCAACCTTATCATTGTGACCCCCTTGCTTCACGGTGTTGACTTTGAGATGCCAAAGCAAAGGTTTTATAGCAAGTCCAGGGTTATGATGCTAAAAGCCTGTAATGATGTAATGTAATATATATATATATATATATATATATAATGAATAATTTTTTAATTATATCCAGTTTATACGATTTAAATGTGAAATAAAATAAAAAAACATTTTGGGGTCAGTTACACTTTAAGTTCTGATGCTTGGAGCAGCAGTGGCATCAGATGAAGGACGACTGTCAGTTCAAGCCCCAGCTCTGGCTTTCAGTGTCATTGTGTCCTTGGGCAAGACACTTCACCTGCATTGTCTACTGATGGTCAGAGGGCCCGGTGGCGCCAGTGTACGGCAGCCTCGTTTTCGTCAGTGAGCCCCAGGGCAGCTGTGGCTACAATGTAGCTTACCACCGTGAGTGAATGGGTGAATGACTGAATGTAGCATGAAATAATTTGATCAAGTCCTCTGACTTGAAAAAGGACTATAGAAGTACAGGCCATTTACCATTTGTGGAGGAACCCTAAATACCACCTCTGAATGAGGACCCTGGAACCTTCAAGTTAAGATTGGACATTTTTTATTTATCAAATCCCCTATTGGGAGTCTTTTAAAATGAATGCCTAAATGAAAACTTTGAGCAGAGTAAAAAAATAAATAAAAATCTATCACAAAATATGATGATTTTTTTTTACGTTTTGTTTGAGTGTGAATTACTTTGAGAGAATAAATTATTGTCAGAGGAGAAAAAATATTTTTTTTCCTTAATCAATAGCATTTCCAGTTTTTATTGCTTAAGTTGTGTTGCCACAAAATGTTTCAATCTTCTCACCTCTGCAAATAGAATTTCACTTTCATTTCCATTGGTTACTAAAACTCTTCCCCTCCCTCTTAAACACATTCATGCACTTTCTCTCTCGCTCTCTCAATAAATACTGAGCATCTCTCAGCTTAATCCGCATCCAACGAGGTTAACCGGAAGGAAACAAATCAAAGCCGTTTGATGGGTTTATAAGCTCAACCAAAGGGGCGTTCTTTATAAACCGGAGACTCAAGTAAGTAGATTTTTTTCTTTTTTAGGGTTTTCGTTTAATTTACAGTCAGACCGGACAGGGAGATACTGGGAGATAATTGAGGAGGCGTGTTTTGGGGGTGAGGGGGGTCTTTTCTCCCCTTTTCCAACCAAAGGAGCATTCAGGCAAAGAAAGGAGAGATCCAACTTCAGATGCTTGTAGTCATGATGGAGGGAGGTCTCCCTTGTTTTCTGTTTATCTAGTTGTTCATAAATCAAATGCCAGTAACTAAGTAAAAGCTATTTTAACCTTTATTAATGGTAAATTGTAGAACATATTAGACAAAAATGATACATGTATGAATAAATCTTTTTTTTTTATAGAAAATTAAAGAAAATTATTCTCGATTATTACATTGCAAAAATGATCTAGAAATAATTAAAAATATCTTAAATTAAGTGTGTTTAAGCCTAATTTTAGTATGTAAATAAGATGATCTGCCAATGGAATGAGTATTTTCACACTTAAATTAGGATAATTAGAAAATATCCACTTGAAACAAGAGACTGCAATTGTTTTTTTGTTCTTATTTTAAGTGTACATTTAAATGTAAATTGTTTTGTTCAATTTCTCCTCAATTCAAGATAAAATGCAGTTATTTTAAGAAAAATGAATTATACAGATTTACATTTTTTGCAGTGTAGATGCACTCTAAAATCTAATAATAATAATAATAACAATAATAATTATAATAAAAATAATAATAATAATAATAATAAAGACAACTTGTTTGGTTTATGTTTTGTTTTGTTTTTTCTTTTTTTTCTTTTTTTTAGAGGAGGGGGTTTTGGTTGTCTGGCAGTCAGCTGGTCCTAGAAACACAATCCCTCTCTTTGTTTTATTTTCATGACGCAGAAAATTGAGGCCTGAACGCGGAGCCGTGGCTGCATGGCGTCCTGTAATCAGGCCAGCGCGTGCCGTCCGGATTATCGCGTTAATTTCTCACAGAAAAAAGAAGAAGGAGGAGGAGGAGGGGAGTAAAGAAAAGATTTGAGCCAATGATAATTAATAGCCTGACAGTGCGGGGGGTGTTTATTATTGAGCGGATGTGTAGCAAGGAGAAAAGTGACAGATTGAGTTTTGGGTGAACAGGAGCAGCCGTTATTGGCTTTAGAGAAAAAAAGAAAGAAAAAAAAGTCTGTCCGTATCAATAAAAGGAGTCTGCACACTTTAATACCTGGCAGGAAAGATGCTAAGAAATAAAAATAAAACATTAAAATAATTAGCCTACATGTTTAATTGCTTAAAACTTTAAAGAAACACAATAGAAATAGGTATTAAAGGGTATTAAATAGTTTTGGGAAATATAAATAAGTTCTATTTAAACATATCAATTGCAAACTCAATGAATGTGCTTTATTTCTGTTAAACTATATATATTCAATCCAACGTTTTAAATAAAACTAATTCAATTTACATATAAGCTTTTAAGACCTCTAACTGATGAAGTTTATTTATTGAGGTAAACATTTGAATTAGTTTATCATTTAAGATTGTTAACACTTATAGCTGAACCTTATAAACCTAAAACTTGTTGAAAATAATTTTACAATTTTTGTAACTTTTTATTTCTTTATATTTGTTTTTTTATTTATTTATCATGAAATGCGTAATTAAATAATCAAAATGATCTTCTTCCTTTTTGTTGTTATAATTTAGCTGATTTATTTAAGTCCTCTGACTGTTTATTAAAACGCGCTGAATTGAATTCGTGCAAATTGTTGTATCAAATGTATTCAGCCCTGCAGGTAACAACCAAAATAAACTTGGAATTAAGCTAATGAGGTTCTCCCTTTAAAAAGAAAATTTATTTCCATGTCTTTTATTAACATAAAATGAAATAAAATGCATGCAAATGTTTCCTCGATTTAAATAAATTGCTCTAGTTTTTCGCTGTAATGAGAAAGTTACACTTATAATCACACTTTTAGAGAAATAAGTTTATGCAAATTATCACAACTTCTGTTGAGCTTTAAATAAATAAAAACTCCTGTTGAGCTTGATTATTGCTATAATTGTTCTTTTTAAATATTTAGTAATTAATAATGTTTGGGTTGTAACTTGGTTTCCAGCTGATTTAAATTAATACATTTTAAAATGATGCATGTTTCGCACGTTTCCTGTGACTTCATGATAAATAGTGGTCAATCTCCGCGTTTGTTTAGATGAACTGCTCCTCTCTAATCAACACTTCTGCAAAGTATCACCTTTCAAATCTAATTACCGGGAGCAATTCATTATAGAAGAGGAGGTGGAGGAGGAGAACGAGGCCCCCAAGTTTTATTGGAGATGTTTTAAACTTTTCCCTCAATGTTTTCCTCCAGTTTCCAATTTAAAACTTTACCTTTTCTATTTTTTATTATTAAGGAAACAAACAATGGCGTCCAAATGTAGATATAAAGATGCTGAAGTGTGATTAAATGCGCGCTCAGTTTGCAGCCTCATTGTTTGTCCCCCTTTTGTTATCAGCAGTACTTATCAGTCAACACTGGGCTTTGTTTCTGCAAATGGCCCCCCAATCAGCTGTCTATTTAGCTTGGTCCCCAACCTGTGGGTGTATATGCTAATTGGGTGCTCAGTTGGCCCCCAACTAGAGTGCGCATTTTAACGACAATGTTTTGTTTTGTTTTAGGTTTTTTTTTGGTGGCGCAGAAAAAAAAAAAAAAAAAGGAGGAGCGGGTGGGTGGGAGATTTTTTAGGCGGGGTTATAGAAACTGTTGGAGTGATGTTTGGAGGGAGGGGGTGTGATGGCGTAAACGCATGTCAGCGCAGCAGAGCATCTTCAGACCAGCGGGGGGACAAGCTGGGGGTCTCTCTTCGGCTTTAAGAGCCCCGCGAGTTGGAGGACGCCCACTTTTTTTTGAAACGCACAGCTGTGCGTAAAGACGGCGCGTAAAAACCAGCGGATATTTAAGTTTTTCTTAATATTCTCAACATCTCTATCTATTCCTTCAGATTTATCTGGACCATTCGAGAATTCAGTGAAATTGGAAAAAAACAACCTTTATTTTTTTGCACCGTTTAATAGTTTTGTGGATCGGGGATCTCTCTGCACCGGGCGCAAGCATGATGTCCTATCTTAAGCAACCGCCATATACAGTGAACGGGCTGAGTTTATCTACCTCAGGAGTGGACCTCCTGCATCCATCAGTGGGATACCAAGGTACCAGAGCGCATTCTTGCTTCTTCATTAATAATGAATTTTACTTAAAGTCACATAATGCTTCCTTTCTATTCTGATTCTCTATCGGGAAAATGTTGGCTCCAAATTGCATGATCACTCTAATATTCTTGTGGTGGTGTGTCATTCTTAGCGACCCCTCGCAAACAGAGGCGGGAGAGGACCACCTTCACCAGGGCCCAGCTGGATGTGCTGGAGAACTTGTTCTCCAAGACCCGCTACCCGGACATCTTCATGAGGGAAGAGGTGGCCTTAAAGATCAACCTGCCTGAATCCAGAGTACAAGTAAGTCTGAAAATAATCTATATAAGAAAAATAACACTTAATATAAAGTGTCTGGAATCTTTAAGCACTAATATGTTTTATCATTATATTGATTAACAAAAGGTTTCATCATTCTGTTGCATCTTTAGCAGATCAGATGCGTTTTTGTAATGTATTGTCTATTTTAATTTATATATTTTATGTTTGCTTTTAGGTCTGGTTCAAAAATAGGCGAGCCAAGCATCGCCAGCAGGCCCAGCAGACCCAGAATGGCGCGCAGAACAAGTCTGTGAGCAGGCCGGTGAAGAAGAAGGGCTCCCCGGTCAGAGAGGCCAGCTCTGAGAGCGCAGCCAGCGGCCAGTTCACGCCGCCTTCCAGCACCTCCATCCCGGCTGTGAGCAGCAGCAGCAGCGCGGCACCTGTTTCCATCTGGAGCCCGGCCTCCATCTCTCCGCTCTCCGATCCGCTCTCCACCACCTCCTCCTCCTCATCCTCCTCCTGCATGCAGCGCTCCTACCCGATGACCTACAGCCAGGCGGCGGGATACAACCAGGGCTACACGGGATCCTCCTCCTATTTCACCGGGATGGACTGCGGCTCCTACCTGTCGCCGATGCACCACCAGCTGTCCGCTGCGGGCTCCGCCATGAGCCCCATGAGCGGCAGCGGGGTATCCAGCCACCTGAGTCCGGCCTCTTCGCTCTCCTCTTCGGCGTACGGAGCGGCGGGTCTGGGCTTCACCGGAGCCGCTGACTGTCTGGACTACAAGGACCAAACTGCAGCTTCATGGAAGCTCAATTTCAACTCGGACTGTTTGGATTATAAAGACCAGGCAGCTTGGAAATTTCAAGTATTGTGAGGAAAAAAGAAAAAAAACTTTCATTAACCCACGCAGAGCCGGCCTTAGACCGAATGGGGCCCTGATTGGAATTTGAATGAAGGGGCACCACCAGAAAGCACAGGAGCCTTTTGGGTGTTTTACATATCTGCACCATTTGTTTCTAATTTAACAACTAGACTGAATATATTACATAATATGATAAAAATATTTCACTGAATATTAAGTGGTTCTATATAACATGTGAAAAGTCCAATCTCCTGGGGTGGCCCCCGTTGGCTTGGTGGTTCTAAGCAGCAGCTCACTCATACTATGAGTCAGCTTTGCATTAATGCAACATATATAGTGTTTTGTTTCCTCCACAAGAATTCAGGCCCCAACTTCTACCTCGGGTCGAGCAGTGCAGGACTGTCTCACACTTGTTGGACTAACTTATTGACTATCGAGACTCAACTTTGATCAAGGGCACGGAACAAATCTGCTGACCAGAAGAGAAGAGGGGGATAAAGGATCAAGAGAGACTAACTTGGAGGAGTTTTAAGGATTGGTCAGGTTTTTTTCCTCTAAGCTCCTTAAAGACTCTCCTTTTCTTTTTAATTTTGTTGGCACGCTGAATGGGCCCCCTTTGATCAAAGCGATGTGCATGAGTGTCTGTATTGTAAAGAGTGTGTGTGAGAGTGTGTGAAAGAAGCTCAGACGCAAACCCGGATGCACTACTTAATTTATATTTAAAAAAAGAAAACACAAATATTTGACAATCAGTCCATTTGCGTGTGAGCCAAAACAATGTATTTTATGTGTTTCATATTTTCTTTTCTTCCCTTGTAAAGTACCCTCTATTTTTGTTTTTTTACCCGACTTGTGGTTCTTTGTATAAACTGTATGCAATTCTGCTTTGCGTAAAATGCGCACTAAAAGCAAGCTGTGAATTTCATATTTTTATTTCCATGTTTCAAGTGTTCATTAAAAAAGGATTTATTAGTTGAAGAAGCAGTGTATGCATTTCAAGGTCCTTTTCAAGTTGTAAAAAGCAACAGAAAACAACAAAACTGGTATAAAAAAATAATAAAAACCATTTCTCTTAATCCATCTGATTTGTGTTGTTTATTAATCAAAATGTCAACATATTATTTAATTTACTGTGAAAATGATTTAACGACTTTTAAGCAAATTATTTTGAGGCAAGTCAATATGCTTTACTTTTATTTTCTTATTGTTTTTTCATCTATCAGCATCCAGCGAATGGAGAAGAATTTGTGAGTTATCAAAGAAGCATGTTAATCCCCTCTTTAAAGCAGTTCAACATTTCTCTTCAAGTCTTTGCTCAGATGAACACGGAGAAGGATGACCTTGCTGTTGAAACAGTTTTTGCACAAAATGACGCAACAGGAGCGCACAGAGCAAAGGATCATCTGTGGGCCTCCTGAAAGAACAAATCCACAATAATAGACTGCAAAAAAAGATATCTAAATAAGTGCATTTTTTTCTTGAAATGAGGATGAAGTGAGACACTTTGCCAATGGAAAAACGACAATTTATATTTAAGATAAGAAAAAAACAATTGCCTTGTCTTATTTCAAGAGCATATTATCTAATTATCTTACTTTAAGAGTAAAAGTACTCATTCCATTGGCAAATTATCTTATTTACCTACTCAAATTAAGGCTAAAAACACTTATTGAAGACATTTTTGCTCATTTCTAGATCGTTTTTGCAGTGTAATAGTAATAATAATAATAATAAAACTATACTACACAGTTCACAGATATTGTTTAATATCTAAATCAGAAAAATATAAAAATTGTAATTGTTAAGATAAATCCAACCTTTTTGTTCTGAGAAACTTATGGTTCAATCAGCGCCACTGATACATTAAAGCAGAAAAAGCTGGAGATATGGCTTTAATTAGCACTGAACAGGAAATGTGAGAGAGAGTCCTCTCAAAACTGAGCCGTGACTTTTTGCTGGGTAGTCGGAGGGCTTTGTATTGTTCATCTGACCACTAATTAGCAGCAATAGACCCAATTATGCTGCGGCAGGCAAACAGCATTTGAAGTGAGCTGAAGAAGGCTGTACTAACATCAGCTTAATGTATCATCCGGTACTTTCGTTCTTTAATAGTTTTTTTATAATAATTGAACAGATCAATAGTCATGAATTGAAAGTTATACTGAGAAAAAATTGAGATATGTAAAAAAAGAAATCCTAATTAGTGACAAAGTTGATTTAAATGGGTTTAAATGTTAAACAGGTGCATAAATATCATTATGTACACTTTTCAGACAACAGAACATAAACTGCAAGGGACATTTATATCAGGGCTATTTAAACCTTCTGCATGTTTTCTAATACATGTCAATAAAGAGCAGTAAGTCAGCATTTGAAGCGGGGGCCCATCCTGTAATTAAACACAAGCGGCCCTAACGATGACATATGGGCCAGGCAGACGCGCTTTATTAATCTCTTCAAAGCATTGGATGATGTTAAACAACAATCAAGAAAAAATGGAGACAGATAGAGAGGAGCGATTAGACCGCACATTTTGACGCCCCAAGGCCAGGCTTTCCCAAAGCGACCGGGGATTTCTGGGATTTCCTCCCAGCTGGAGGAGAGGGAAGCCGGCTGATACTGTGTGGTGGATGGGGGGGCAGCACCAGTTAACGTTAGATGTATCTCAGATTCACTTGCTGCATGTAAAATAAACTGTCTAAACATGATGTCAGCCTTTTATTTAAACTGGGTCATTTATATTATCTTAAGCTCTATACTGGAAAAAAATCGAAATCTAGATAAGTCATTTTTTTTAGATTGAGGAAGTAAAAGAGACATCTTGCAAAAGGAACAAGACAATTTACACTTAAAATAAGAAAATACAATTGCATTGTCTTATTTCAGGTGCATCTTATCTAATGATCTTATTTTAAAAGTAAAAATTCTTATTCCATTGGAAAATCATTGAATTCACCTACTCAAATTAAGGGTAAATACACTCAATTTAATAATTTTTTACTTATTTCTAGATCGTGTTTCCAGTGTAAAGTACAAGCACTTACTTAACAATGCCAAGCAGTACATGTTTTCGGGGTCCCATCAGTATGAATACTCTAACTGCCATTTCAGAGATGGACCTGGTAAATCAGCAGCAGGTGTATGAGCTCATGATGAACAGAACGGGCTTTCTTTAAAAACAAAAAAAATAAAGACAAGAGCATTTCAGTTAAACGGCCAATTGGTGAGAATATAACTGAAGACCATTGTTATACATAAGCATGTGTCCTACATTCTCAGGGAGCCCATGCCTATCACATATAAGCATAGTAACACATACATAATTCATCTACAGCAGCAGTCATGGAATCTCATTTAAATGAATGAAACAATAGTGTTTCTGTGCTCCCATCAGACAGGCGGTTACCTCCCCATACTGGCCGTGTTGAAATGCTGAATATATGGATTTCGGATCATGGATTAAGCTGTTGGTTGGGATTAAATTTAATTCTATAATGCATGGACTAAATGATGCAGTTTTATGGTTTCAATGGGACTTAATGTTTTTGTAATTGCTCCAATATTCAACAAGTAGTAAAAGGGGAACATGTGGCTTCCCCTTAATCGTTACATTCCTTATGTTTTGGTGTATATATTGTCGTTGTATTTTCTGGGATAAAATAAATAAATCTCAGACTTATTTAGAACTTGTAGAAGCTTTGTAGAACAGATATGAATTAAAGTATCAGAGTCAATCTCAACTCATAGAAAACATCTATTTCAGTTTATTGGTTAAAAAAAAACATAATGTGGGGAGTGGGCATTTTTATTTCTGGTTTTCATCATCATTTTTTTTTTTAGATAGTTTCACTCTTAAAAAGTCAAATGAAAATACTGTTGCATCATTAATGATTTCCAAAAAGGGAATTTTGCATCTTCATGAGACTTTTGTCTATTTTTAATGACAGGGAAAAAAGCCTAAAAAACATGGGAAAAGATCCTGATTTGTTCTGCTGAAATAAATGGTTGAGTATAAGGTCAATCACTGATTCTCCACTATCCATCTTTTCATTCCATAGGTCTCCAGGTTTATCACTAGACTCTTTGCTGTGCCTCCGATTGATGCAAACTCCACCTGACTTGTTAGATTGGGTGGAAAAGTGGGCCTTTTAAAGTCTGAATTTGTTTCAAACAGTGATCTTTGGAAACTTAAGCTTTGAACATTATTCTCAAAATGCTTTTTACTTTTCCAAAGCATTCTACCTGGCTATTGCTATTCACTCATTAATGTTCTTAAGTAAACATCTGGGGCCTTTACAGAACAGAAGAATTTATAAAAACATTAAATTACAGACAGAAAAACTCCATTTGCGAATTAGACTCTTTCTGATGCAATTGGTTCCTCTCGATTTTTTCCAATATCAGAATAAATGGGTGTAAACACATTTAACGTTAAAAGCTGTTTCCCAAGCCATCACAAGGAAATGGTTTGAACCAGATCCACCCACCATGGAAGAATGGATTGAAATTGTTCACCAGATTTATGCTATGGAAAAGATTTATTTTTCCCTCCAAGCATAAAAAATATTATTATATTTCATAAGATCTAGACCAAATGGACCAAGTACCATAAAACCTATTAGATTCAACTGCATTTGATTTTTTTCTTTCATGTTCTTATTGATTTTATTGCTCGAGGTGGGGCAATCCCCATTATTGTTCAATTCAGTTTATTGTTGTTATCATTCACAACTAAAATTTGTAAAAGTCTGTAAAAGAAAATACTAGAAAGGCATGGACAAAATAGCTTTGACTCTCCACTTATGCCTTCATTGAAGACCTTAAATGCGTAGAGCTGTAATTAATGAATGTGATGGAAATCTGTCTTTCTAAATAAAAAGAAAAAAACAAAACAAAAAAGCTGCATCCCCTTTGGTCCACACTGCAGTTATAGCTGGTTGTGGTAGACCAGATGACAATAAAATGTAATATACAAACATCAATCTCTCATAAAAGAAATGTGACAAAGTTTTATTTTTGCAAGGAACAAAATTCTCTCCAGCATTTTGCTGTATTGCTTTACATGCATCTAGGTGTAACACAGAGCAGCCTCTTGGCTTTAGTCCATTTTCTAAGGAGTTACTGCGGCGAAAGCATATTAAGTCCTTCTCTGATAATTGTAGCTGTTTTCACCCTCTTTGAGGCTATTTATTACTGCAACAGCAGCACACGGCAGGAAGGTTTCTAATTTTAAAAACTCATGTAACGGGCCAGGCTTGTTCTGGAGGTTAAAAAAGTGACGAGCTGATTATTACGCAAACTCCAAAATTTACTTACACAGAATGAATTTCATAGACTCTTCAGTTATAATAAGACGTTTAGGTCTTCAGTCCAGAGAATATAATTTTTGTCTTTAGAAACATCGAGAGTTTCTGCAGAACAGACAGTGGGAAAACTTCAAATAAGCATTTATTAATACAAGCGGGCTGTGGCTCAGCTGCTAGGGCATCTATCACAGGAAACTCTGTTGGAAAGAAACAGGTTAGAGCCATAATCTGATGGATGATGATTATCCATGTGAGTCACTAACCTGATTTAACAGTTCAGTCCATTGCTAGAGAACAAGGTAGGATCCAGCCGGTGAGCTGCCAACAAGATGCGACAGGCGCCACCCAGAGTGTCCCAGATGCTGCAGCCACAGAGATCATGCTGGAGTCCGAAGCCAGGTCAGGCAAACAGATCAGAACAGGAACAGGCTGGTTCAGGGGTCCAGGAGTCCACAGACAGCTAAGGCAAACCGTTCAGACAGGAACAGGCAGGCTCAGTGGATGAGAGGCAGAACAGGTCAGGATCAGGAAATCAGAAACACTATGGTACGCTAACAACCCCCGAGAATGAGAGCAAGATAATCTGCCCTGATATCTGGATGCAACCACCTTAAATAGAAGCAGAAGTAGGTGGATCACATGAGCAGTGATTGAGCAACCAGGCAGAATTGGACAGGTGAATGGAGTTAGCAATCTAGCCAATAATCAGCACCAAGACCATGAGATGTTGTTTTCTGAATGTCACCTCTTGAATTAATCA